TTTCTTGCAATAATCGTTGAGATCTACAAGATTTGGCTTTGATACCGATTGTAAAGTTCAAAAAAAAATGACGAGTGCGAAACTAAAATAAGAGTCATGAATCAATCACACAAAATTTGCAAGTAATATGGTCAAAGCGCTTCTATCTTATTGATTAAGAAATGGAACATACAAAGAGACTTTGGTTTTCTCAACCTAATTGATGTTGATACATAAAGGGAGTCTTTATGGGAAGCTTACCTAACAAGCTAAGCTAAAGACTATTTATAGTGGATTAAATAAAACATATGCCAAATAACTAAACCCACTACAAAGACTAAAAGTCTTCAATAGTCAACATGAAATACCAAACCAGTTTCTATATCTCTAGTACCCAATAATTTCCAACTTTATCCATTAGGATGGTCCAAACAAGCAATATCTAGTCTTTAAGTCTCAAAGGGACCAAGAATGCATCTTTCTCAACTTAATCCATTAATTTCAAGTTTCCAACATTTATATCTGAATCAACACGAGCTTTAGATGGAGAAAGTTTCCAACTTTATCCATAATAATGTCACAAACTTTCAAAATCTAAACTTTAATACACCAAAATGACCTAAAGGACCAAGATAACTTGCATCGCCCAAAAGGGAGGCAAAAAATCATAACTTTCCTAGTCCATGAGGTCCAAGAAGCATTCCAAAATGATCAAAAGATGTTGGATTCCACGTAACTCCAAGATCACCCATAAAATGAACCAAAAGTGCCAAGAACCACAAATGAAGAGATCTAAAGAACTAAAGAGCAAAATATGAACTCTATACTAATAATAGTCCAGAAATAAAGTAGCTTTGATGGATCTAAACTTTTACCAACCTTCCTTGCACCCAAAAGAACCTTCTTGATCTTCAAGTTTCATCAAAATATAAGCAAAAGCATCTAAAAAAGGAGAGAAGAAAGAGAGAAAGAGTTCAAATCTTGAAGATAAAGGCTATGGTTTCTCCCAAGGAGTACTAGATGTGATGGAGGCTAAGAAAATACCCTAAAACATGAATCCTTCCCTTTAAATACCTTAAAAACCCTAAAACTCGTGGGCTTAGGCTGCCTCATTTGCCACCCCGTGGTAATCTGATTTTCCACCTCGTGGTGGTGGGTTTTCACCAAAATTCTTTCCAACTTCAAATATTGACAAAACTACAAAATTGGTCCCTATGGTTTGCAAAAAACTTTGGATGGGGTCCAAAAACTTTCCAACTTGCATAGAAAGTCCAAAATCAAAACTTTTCTTTGCTTTTGGTCCTAAAAAGGATGAAATAACTATTCTACCCTTTTTATTCCTTTTTCACATTTTTTATTTACTTATATATTTTAATAATTAAAAAAAAAAGAAAACACCCTAACCAACACCCATCGACGGTACCTTCCTCCTCCTCCTCCTCTCTCTCTCACACACACACACACACACTAGACTTCATCTTCTTCGTCTTCCTTCTTCACCACCGACTACATGTCCTCCATCCTCTCTCCACCATCTTCATAATTGACTTGCATCCTCCTCTCTCTCCATCTATCTCCTACATCATCTTAATTCCCCCTTGTGACCTAAAGTTAAAATATGCGAATTTGGAGAGATCAGCCATGGCTAACCATCAAGATGAAAATTGAATTAGCTATAGCCGACCGTCTCCATCAAAATCTGTCCAGACTCTTCCTCCTTTGCCTCCATCTGCCACCTATGTCATCCAGTAACTAGCAAAACCAGAAAAGATATTACAGATCGATAAATATAAGTTTAAAAACCAAACCCAATTCTCAAAATATGTTCATTAAAAGATGTGGACTCCTGTCCTTTGGAGAAAAGAGACCGATCGTCGGACAAGACAAAATGATGGATAAAGGAATAGGGGAAATGGTTGTTAGAGGTAATTGGGATGCACTATGATCAAGATCCTTACCGGAAAGCAAGCGTGGAAAGACAAGGGGAGTAGAAACCCTCTGTCAAACCGGCTATTATGAGGAATCCATGGAAAGGAAGAGGGGAATGAGTGGTTTTTTCAGTGGGCAGGAGGGAGTTATGAAGTGTCGATGAGGGTGGGGTGAGCCGCCGGAAAAGATGAAGTTCAGGTGAGTGGTTTCGTTTGGGATGAGAGAGAGAGAGAGAGAGAGAGAGAGAGAGAGAGAATGTGAGTCTATTTTTCTTTTTTATAATTATCAAAGGATGAGATTTTATTATTTATTTTTTTTATTATTTAAATACTTAAACAAATAAAAAAAAGACACAACTACATTAATATTTATAAAATAAAAATATAAAAAATACAAAAAAGAAATTTAAAGGGCAAAACAGTCAATTCAAGTGCTCCATGGACCAAAAATACAAATTTTTCTTAAGTTTAGGACCAAAAACCCAGAAAAACTTTGATTTTGGACAATCTGTGCAAGCTAGAAACTTTTTGGATCCCATCCAAAGAATTTTACAAACCACAAGGACCAAATTTGCAGTTTTATCTCAAATATTCATAACTTCTTTGTTTCAACTCTATTTTGGACGATCTTTATATCCACATGAGTGTATTGACAATCCCCACAATTCTATCCAATTACTTTTGACTTAAATCATACTGAACTAAATTCCTTAATTCATGCAAGAAGCCTGAAACATCACTTTTACTATTTACCATTTTTCTTCAAAAGATAAATCAAGTGCTTAGATCTCATAACAAATATTATCAACATCCAATAAGATCTAAATCTTATTTCCTTGAAGCCTAAGACCTTTACATGATCAAATTACGGTCCATAATCCCAAAATAAGAAACGTTCCGAAATTCGATGTTACAATGAATCTCCATGCACCAACTTGAAGGGGAGTATTGAAAATAATATTTGCTTCAATTTATATTGGCATCTATTCCTTTTGTGTTTATCTCGTTTATTTAGGAGTATTTATTAGTTTCCTTATCATTCTATTCCTTGACTATATAAAATGTGTAATTAAAAAATAAACCATAATAATAAAGTTATTATATAAACAGGATAATAAAGATTTTGATTGGAAAAATGGGGTTGCGTCGCTGAAAATCAAATAGAGGTTGATATTTGCATCATCCAACAACGAAGAAAATGAATAAAACATGGAGTTTATTTTAGTTTTTGGCAAAAGTTATTTAATACTAACAATAATAATAAATAATAAATTAATAAATGAACATCAAGTTTTTAAAATACACCGATAGTATGGTTGGCTTTAGGAAATAAAATATATTCATAAGTTTGATCATTTTATGTTTATTTAAGTTGAATATTTAAATATAGATATTCCAAATTAGTTTAATTTATATGTAATTATATTATATGAAACATGGAAAATAAACTTTGTTATAGGAATATCATCTTTAAGTTAATGTTGTAAACATGGTCGGTCCATAGGTATTTTATGCCCCGGGCAAAGACATTTGATGATGCCCCTATATTTATACCCATATATACCATAGATTTATTGAACGAACACATTTTTCATTTGAAAAAAATCTATAACTACGCAAATTAAAACTTGCAAACATCTTCTAAAACGATGTTTTCATAAGGCTTTTTGAAGCAAAAACATCAATTATCCAATTTTAGTTAATATTTGCTAAAAATTGACTTTTAAACTCAAATTTGCAAAGCATTTTGATAGCTAATATAAACAAAGAATATGCACTTAGATTATTCCATACATCAATTTTGCAATTCATAACTAAACCATTGCAAAATTGGTGTTCTTTTCTTACTACATATTACTCGTAAAATTAAATAGGGCAAAACAAAGAATCGGTAAGTCAATCAGACTCAACCTATTCCGTAGATTTGACAATTTTCCCTTTGGATAACGCCCTTTAATCAAACGGATAAAACATATATATATATATATATATATATATATATATATATATATATATATATATATATATATATATATATATATATATATAGTTAGGTTAATGTGAGACAGTCTAATTTTGTAAGACCGTAAGACGTATTTTTTTATTTTTTTTAGTTAATTCAAGTTCCGAAAATAATATTTAAAAAAAGAATTTTTGGATTTTTCCATTTATTTTGCATTTTAAAATTATTTTTTAGAATATGTACAATGTAATATTCTATTAGAATATTTCACGTATTTTTCAAAAAAAAAACGAGGTTTTTTTTTTTATTTTTTATTTTTTATAGTTAATTCAAGTTCTGAAAATAATATTTAATTTTTTTTTTTAGGTTTTTCCATTTATTTTGCATTTTACAATTAGTTTTTAGAATATGTCAGTGTAATATTTTATTAGAATATTTAACGTATTTAAAAAAAAGAGGATTTTTTTTAATTTTTTTTAGTTAATTCAAGTTCCGAAAATAATATTTAAAAATAGAATTTTTGGATTTTTTCATTTATTTTGCATTTTAAAATTATTTTTAGATTTGGTCTCACGGTCTCATAAAATTATAATGGTCTCAAATGAATCTGAACATATATATATATATATATATATATATAATATATATATATATATATATATATATATATATATATATATATATATATATATATACTAACTCTAAACTACATGATGAATAGTTCTAACTTCTAATTGGCTGCTGGAATAGTTTTTTTCCTTTTTTTTTTCTTCATTTGTTGTCTTATTTGGCATAATAAGTATTTTAGATAGTGGATATGCTGGCTACATGTCCTGTGACTCCACTGTTCATTTGGCAAACGTGTCGTCTTCTCTCTTTGACCACCGCCTCACCGATACCTCTCCGCCTTCCAGATCTTTTCCCTAATTCCTTTACCGCCTATTGTACCCTTTGCTTTTCTCACCCGTTGTCTCCATTTACGTCTCCTCCACCGATTCCATTCCCGTTTTTCTCTAATGTGCTCCGTATCTCACTTCCCAAATACAATATGTCTCATCGATTACCCATCGGCCGCCTTATCTCTATTTTCTTCTCTACCGCTTCTTTTTTCACGATCGATTGAACTATAAATGGCCTACCTCGAGATGATTAAAGTTTGCTCATGGTCAGATACTGCTAAGAAAATCCTCAAGTCCTCCCCTCTAACGGTTTCGTCTTCTCTTTTGCCCAAAGATTTGGATTGTTGCTTCCAATTCCATGTTTACTTTGCAAAAGAACATTTGAATGTTTTAATGTTGAACATTACAACTCTAAGAAATATATCAAAAACACAAATATGGCATGAAATCTTGAAAACGCAAAGATTAATTCAAGAAAAAGTAAAGATGAAAAATATGAAATCAAGAAAATGTATCTAAGTCAGAAGAATATATTTTGATTTATACATACAAGTATTGAACCCTTTAAATCAAATTCATAGCAGATAATAAAGAATTACATTTTTGATTCAGGAGAAACTTCACTAAAAAAGTTTGGATAATCAGTGAATCAATTACAACCAAAAAGTCTGGAGAATAAGAATCACAAAAAAAAAGGACCATGGTATAAACCCCACTCGATTGTATTTTATGATTTGGGAGAACTAGAGAAAGAAGAGGAGAACTGAAAACTCAGTGAAAAAGTAATCGATAATGGTGATTAATCCCCTATTTATCCCGAGCATCTCCTCGATTTAGGTGTGTGATTGTGTGAATTGTAATGCGACTTGTGATGTTACCAAACAATTTACTGTCGATCACTTCAATTTACACGTGAGACATTCTCTTGATTATGCACTTATTTCTCCTGCTATTCATTCTTTCAATTGTCGCCTTGAGGTATACATACCCATAAGACTGAAAGCTAATGTATGTGTGTGATGTGTGCGATGTAGAATAAAAAGCCAAAAAAATCTATAGATAAAAACAAACAATTTTGACATTCATGTTTTAGGTTGGATTTGTCATATCATGGTTCTACTATAGCAAAACTCTCCGCCTCAACTCCACGTAAGATTGTGGTCCGACATCCATTTTGAAACTATGGGTAAGGAGTCTTGGATAAGAAAGAAATAAAAGAGAGATTGGGGAGATCTCTTGAGAAGATTAAAAGAAAGAGAAGAGAGGAGAGAGCTTCAACAATTCTTAGACGAGTTCGCCACTACATACATGACAAATCATGGTCACTAGTCACTACCGTATCCAGTATCCATACACACAACCTGTACCCACACACACACAACCTTAGAATTTGTTATACCCAAAAAAACATTTATGTTTTTAGAATTTGTTACACTGAAAAAAATGGTTATATTAACAATTAATAACACTGATTTTCTTAGAATAACCAATTATTGATTGGGAAAATGACTTATGAAGATAACTAACTATTTCGATTGTCCATATATAGGTAATGTTCTTTTTTTGTTCTCATTAATGAAACCAACTTGTTATTTATGTTCACATTTAGGTAATATGACCGGCTATCACCTGTTTTCACTCATTTTACCTGGTTGCATAAATGTAACTCAGTTAAAACGAAATACATGGACTGTTACGTGGCCATTGATCCCCTTTCTCATTTAATTAGGGTTTGACAAGTTCAATTTCACCAAAATCACCTCCCGATTTTAGATTCGCTTCATCAAATTGAAGATTAGAGTTTAGAGTTGAAGCTACATCTTGAAGTCGACTATAAGATGGCATCCCAATCATCTACAGGTAAGTATTTAATTGTAGATGTTCATTACAGGGGACTATTTGCCCTAAATCCGTTGAAATACTTAGACCCCGAAAATATAACAGTGCATGATGTCGATTTTGGAGGATTTACATACAAAGAGTTTCTTTTGTGGCTTAGGAAATAACAAATGGAAGTTGTGATAATGTGTACTACTGTAGTAGAAAGGAAACCTTGGGTGAGGGTATTATAAAAATCAACAATAATGCTGATTATTAGGAGTTTGCTGAAGCTACTTATACTCCTGAAGCTGAGTTGGATGTCTACATTGACCACCAAAATGATCCAATCCTTGATTGGGCTGAAAATGAGGTGTTATCAGATGAAAACGAAGAAGAGGATGACAATGAAGAAGAGGATCACAAGGAAGAAGAGGATGACAATGATGAATATGATAACTTGGATGATATTATCGCATATGAGCATGAAGTTGATGAAGAAGTCCATACCTTTCACAAAACTGTTGGTGACGATTTTTTAAACAAACTTTTAGTTTTTGGTAAGCTTAGTGGTGATGATGAACATAATGATGGAAAAGATGATAAGGTTGTATTCCCTGTCCATGATGAGAATCAAGAATGGGATAAGATGGTGCCAATTCTAGGTATGAAGTTTGTTAACCCAATGCAATTGAAGCTATGTATAACCAATTATGCAGTGAAGAATGGGTATGATTTATGGTATGAAAAAAGTGATCATAACATATTACTAGTGAAATGTTGTAAAGGTAAGAAGAATAAGAAGAATAAAGGTTTTCCCTTTAGGTTGTGGGTAACCTGGATGAGCAATGAAAGGTCATTCCAGATTAAATCTATAATTGATAACCATAATTGCTCGAGAGTCTTCAAATTTAGGTCCATTATTAGCTATAAATGGATAGGGAATCATTTCATGAATGAGATACTCCAGAAACCAAAGATGAGTGTGAGGAAATTGAAGGGCTAAAGTTAGCAAGAAATTTAATTTGATTGCAAGTGTGGGACAGTGCAGAAATGCTAGGAGGTATGCATTTAAGGAGATAGAGGGTACTTTAAAGGAACACTATGCTAAAACTTGGAGCTATGGAGAAGAGCTAAGAAGAACCAACCTTGGATCAACAGTGAAGATGGATGTAGATGTCATGCCTGATGGAGCCACTTACTTCTCAAAGTTCTATGTATGTTTAAAATGTGTGAAGGATGGATGGATTAAAGGTTGTAGAAGCATAATTGGCCTAGATGGCTGCTTCTTAAAAGGTGTTTGCAGAGGTCAGTTGCTTTATGCTGTAGGTAGGGATGCAAACAACCATATCTACTCTCTTGCTTGGGCTGTGGTTGCAGTGGAGAGTAAGGAAAAATGGAAGTGGTTTGTTGACCTTCTCCTTGATGACACTGGAATGGGAAATGGACATGGGTTGACATTAATATCAGACCAAACACAAAGTAATGATTTTATATGCTCCCTTTATTTAATACTTAATTTATTTGAAATTTATGTTTTGTTTGTAATGCTAACAGGGATTACTTGAGGCTGTCAAGGAAAGGGTGCCTGCAGAAGAGCATAGACAATGTGCCAGACACATATGTGCTAACTTCATGAGAAAATTCAAGGGTCAACAGTTGATGTGGAAAGTGATAGTGATATTGAAGTTCAAAGGGAGAATGATAGTGAGGTGGAGTCTTATGAAGTTGATTTTGAAGAAGGTAATCAAACATATGAAGATGTAGACCAACCTGAGGTTGAAGCTGAAGTTGGAGGTGTTGAAGCACATGTTGAAGTTGGAGGGGTTGAAGAATAGGTTGAAGTTGAAGCACAAGTTGAAGCACTTGTTGAAGTTGAAGTTGAAGAAGGTGAATACCAAGCTGCAGTTGTGGATCAAGTTGAAGTTGAAGTTCAAGGACAGGGTGAAGTTCAGGAAGGTGAAGAACTTGTTATACTTCAAGATCCAGTTGGACAAGATGACCAAGGATAGGTTTCACTTCAAGATCCAGTGGAAGAGGAGCATATGCAAGAAGTGCCAACATTTCAAGTTCTACACGGAAAGAGAAAAAGGAAACCTTCAGAAAGAATCACAAAAATTCAGATAAGAAGGAAGTGGGAGGGGAAACAGGGGAGTACTGGTGAAAATCCAATGGAATTGGATTAGAATTAGACACTTTGTTATTTTTTGGCATCATTTACTGGGAATCTTTTGTCTAGTAATATGTGTAACTTTTGGAATCTTATGTGTACCTTTTGGCAGTAATGCATGTGTACCTGTGTTAAATTCCAATGTTTCCTGGGAATCCAATGTTTGATTATATTACATTCCAATGTTTGATTATATTACATTCCCATGTTCGATTGTATTATATTCCAGTGTTTAAGTATTTTTCATTCTAATACATGTAACAAAAACATCAAAATTAAAAACAAGTAACAAAAGTTCCATCCATTCATTACATACATAAGCATACACAAAAACAGGTGGATTACATCATTCTAATACCAATCAAGTTTCATTCATGAACTACATCATTCAACCCTAATACATCATGAACTACAATCAAAACAACATTTTCACATACAATACAAATAACAAAATCAGTGTCACTTTGTGAGTAAACAACTTCCACATGCCTTTGTCCAATTCTTGTCTATTAACAAAATTGGTGTTGTTTTCTTGTTCGATCTTCATCCTACATATGCTGATTTCATTCTCCAAAGTGCAAATTTTCAATGTTAGATTATAGCTTTCTTCTGGTTTCCTCCAGTAAGGCTTTCTTTCATCTGTCCTCCCTTCATCCTCGTCCAGCCATTGTCAGAATTTACAGCTTGGACTTTTTCCATTCTTGAAGAAATATTAAAAAAAATGTTAAAATAAAGGATGAAGAAGAATGAAAGGATATTCAACAAGATGAAGAAGAAGAAAGTTGCAATGTATTCAACAATACTGATTACCATTGAGTTTTGACAAACTTTAAATTTTCTTCCAGGGTTTTCAGGGGTTCTTGAAGTCTTCACACGAGATGGTAAGTTGTAATCACATGGATGATCAGGTTGAAATTCATCTTGCCGTTTTAAAGAATAAGATGAGGAAGAAGAAGCCATCGTCGATCTAGGGTTCAAAATCAGGGGTGTAATTGAATGACTTATTATACTGTAAACAAAGAGAATATATGCACAATGCCACATAGGTGCAGTGGCGGAGCCATGGTTTTAGTAAAGGGGTATCCCGAATAAAAAAATTGTGTAATATACAATAATAAAAAAAACTGTAATTTTATTAGATATAAAGTTAAACTTCCATAATAAAGTTACATTTTAAAGTTCACATCTTTCACAACAAATAATCACTAATTATTAACCTTAAATCCCTAATTTAACAATTAGAATTGGTAATTTCTATTTTTTTTCAACACAATGACAAGAAATTGAATTTCAATTAACCAAAAAATAATCACAAAATTTCTATTTACTTGCTTCACTATAGCACCACTTTGATAAATAATCACCCATCACCAGCCACCGTGGGATTTCACAGGAAAACACCCACCGCCGATGACCAATCGCTGACAGAAGAAGGAAGGGTAGCAACAGCAAGAACATGCGTCATCGTACGGAAGAAGCGAAGTCGCGAGTCGGTGTCTATCAATTTCTTATTTCCAAATTTTATTGTGTATTGGGCTAAAATTTATCTTAATTGTTAAATTAATTTTTTTATGCGGACACTTGACAATTGGGCTTAATAAATTTGAACTACTTCATAGACTAATTTGTATATGGATTTACCATTTGGAAAAAACCTAAAAAAAATAAATTTAGGGTATCCCAAATAATTTTTTAGGGTTTAATGGCAATATAAACAAAAAATTCTAAAAAATATATAGTACCAAGACTTTTTTAGGGGACTTCTGGGATACCTCAGGTTCTATGGTTTCATTAATGAGAAAAAAAAAAAAAAAAAACATTATGACAATTTTCCCTTACCTTATTGATTTCTCGAATATTATTTTGATTTAAGAAAAATTAAACTTAAAAGTAAATTGGGTATAGGGGTGTCAATTTATGACACGACACGATAAAAATACACGACACGAAACGAAATCGGGACGAAATCATAATTCGAATTCGTTTTCGTGTCGTGTTCGTGTCAAGTTTAAAAAACACGATGTCGTGTTGTGTCGTGTTCGTGTTTGCAAATCCACACGAAATTGACACGATTGAGCATGTATTTGTCGTGTTTTCGTGTTTGTCGTTTTTATCGTGTTATATATGATTAAATATGAATTAAATAAAATAATAGTTGTGTAATATTATCTTTGTCGTGTCGTGTCGTGTTGTCGTTTTTTAATTGGTTCGTTTTCGTGTTAGTGAAAAAAAACACGACATCGTGTCGTATCGTGTTCGTGTTATAAAAAACCTTGTCATATCGTGTCGTGTCAGACAAAAACACGACACGACGGCCCGATTTCACAGGCCTAATTGGGTAAAAGTCCCAAATAAACGCCAAGTGTTGCATGATTTTGATATTGCCGACGAGGGCCACGATTTCGAACATTGAGACAGATTAGATTCACTCAACGAAGATCTTTTGAGTCCCAACTACTTCCACTCTGCTCCCCAAAACATTTCCAACTATTCTCGCCCAAAAGTCAAATCAGCTGAGAGGAACTCCACTGAATTCTCAGGGGTTTTGGTTTCGGTGGCTAGCTTTACAACTATGGCGGCCTCGAAGTTCCATATCTTTTTCTTTGTTTCGCTCTTTTTTGCCCTAATTTTTACTCTAACGGAAGCCGGTAGTGCCGTTGAAGAAGTTGTAGTTGAATCCGACAATTCCGAGGCGTTTCGAATCGAAGTCGATAAACTCACCTCCAAGATCCAGTCACTTGGTTTGCCCTCTTTACTTTAACCCTCTAAATTATCCAAGTTTAGTTAGTAATTAGAGGCATGTGTTCCTCCAATCGCATATTGATTTGAATCTTCTCTAGTTAGCACACCGTTTCTTTCTTTTTCCTGTATTTAATCTGTCAACTTCGAAACCTGTTACTTTATTTTTGGTTGAAAGTTCTTTAAACAAGTTGGTGTTTTAATTGGCCTGAAAGAGGTGATTTTGACCTAGCGGGACCACATATAGTGCGAACCCCAAATCATCTCCACTCTCCAGGACGCCCCTTGGTTTGGAAGTTGATTGATTTATTCGACCTCAGGTGAATTTTGGTGGAGACCAACTTATAAACCTGAATAACCAACTGAACACCTGAGGGTTACTTTATCATATCTATGTTGAAAATGAAATTGGTTTGAACAAGGCTGATTGGTGGTTAAATGACCTTAACCTGTAGAAAAAGCATAAACAATTTGGTATGTAAATATGGATTTTGTTTGAACTTCAAGTATCTTTATCCAGAAGTTAGTGTGTGACCCCAATACAAACACAGCAAAAAGGCAGGAGAGCATTGTTGGGAGAGAGGTTTAATTAATTTGAAGCATATAGTTGTTATATAGGCATATTTACATCAACAATGTGCTGTTTTTCAGAATCATTTATTGACAAGAGTAACCAAGAGCTAAAACACAAGGATGAGATCATTGATAAAAAAGAGAAGGCAATCGCAGAAGTTGAAAAAACCATTAAAGAGAAGTCAGATAGCATTACATCGTTGAAACATGAGGTAGCTAAGCTTGAGGTAAGTTATTAAATGTTTTGTGAATCCCACAGTGATTTTATTACAGAAGTAAATGAACCCTCTTTGGTATATATGTTGAGCCCCCATTGTTCTTTTTAACAGGTTAAAGTGTCCTTAGATGCTAATGAACAGGTCAAAAAAGCTCATAAAAGGGCTCATGAATTGGAGAAGCAGGTGTGCATTAGAATTAGATCACATTCTTCCCAAATCAAGATCATTGAAATTACATAACCAATAAAAATTCTTGCAGGTGGAGAAGCTTCAAATGGAGATGGAATATAAGAACAGCTTGAGGGAGGCCTTGGAAACCCGTACAAAAGAATTGGAGAAAAAAGTGCTTGATCTAAACCCAAAGCTTCAAGATGTAAGTTGTTCTGTTATATCATAATTAATTATAATGGTAGGAATTCATTAAATTGAGATTGAGCCTCACACATGTTTGTTTTGTTTTTATATCTTTTATTTCAGCTTCAACACGTTGTTGATGAACAGAAGACAAAACTTCATAAAACTGAGCGTGCTCTTAAAATTGCTGAGGTATGTTCACAATAATGGTGTTTGGTATACTGCTTCAAATATAAGAAATTGCAATGTCATTACTCATTACATATTTACATGTATAATCGTATGCAGGAGGAACTTAAGAAGGCAAAATTTGAAGCAACAGCTAAGGTGAAAGAATTGACAGAGGTAAAAACTGAAACTTATTCCATGTTTCTAAACACATAAATGGTTTATCTTGTTTTATTTTACATATCTATGGTGCACTTGTTGCATATGCATAATAAACAAACTTATTCTGTGTTTTGTAAACTGTATTCAGGTTCATGGTGCATGGCTACCACCTTGGCTTGAAACTCGTTTGGTTGGTTATCAGGTGATTCTTTATAGAGTATATGCCATTTATGCCTAAAAGAACCAGGTTTGACT